TGTCTTTAAAATCACTTTTTTATGCTCTTTCCGAATATCGTATGGGAATTTCAAAAAAATACATACAGAGTGTTGTTTTCTAGACTTGCACAAAAAATTTACAATTTTTGCAGTCCGGACCTGGATTTTTTTGCTGTCATACATGCATACATGAAGTATCGTGAGTGCATTAACCCTACCAAATATGAACCCATTATTCCATTCCCTACCAAAGTTATGACATAAAGCAGTTTTGACCAAAAATCATAAATCACCCTGTATCTCAATAAAGAATGGCCAAGAAGTTATTTCTATAGGCGATCCTAGTTACCCTAGATGTCCTCTATCTCCCATTAAGCCATGTCCCTCTCGTGATGCAACACCCTGTATAAACGTTTTTCTCTTATTTTTTGCTGTAGAATGTGCTCGCAAAATATTAGACTAATCTGGAACACTTTGTACAACTAATGTGATTTCCTACAGTTATAAAGTTATAAAAAACTCAATTTATTTGAAAATTAATACCTAACATAATTTTCTTTGAACATTTTGGTTATAATCTTGTAATAAATGCAATACAGTTTTAATCCATCAGACTTCAGGAGCAGATAGAACCGCCAACAATACTTAATGCTACCTACTTTGTTTTATAAATTTATTTGATAAAATTACCAAACCATAAATTTGGTGTACATATGTAAGTTATATCTGATCAAGTTTCTAGAAAATACTAATATTGTCAACATTCTTAAGCAATCAGTAACAAAGATACTGAGAGACACCATCATTAACGTCACTATCGATATTGACACATCACTGAAAATTGTTTTAAACTCGATAAATCCTTTCGATTCCCAACTGACTAAAAAAAAATACATCTACATTTAATTCAAAAAAATAAATAATTATGCGTTACTTTTTTATACTAAAATAAGTTTATTGCACAATTGATCAAATCGAAAATAATTAGTGAAGAGGAGACCTTGAACTAAAAAATAACTTGAAAATGATATATGTATAGAGAATATTTTTCTTTCTACAAAATATTCAGTGGCTTCAAAATTCTGATGTTCTCTATTATTTCAGAAGATATTTCAGTAAAAGGATTTCTTTTAGGACTTTGTACATGTAACACCCTTCGTCTCGAAAATGACTGAGACTTTGAGATAAGTTTATAAAACAGAATACGATTATTTTTGGTTGTTCTATCTACTTCCAAAGTCTGATGTATTAAAACTATGACACTCTGTAGAAGCAGTATACAATATAAATATCAAAGGACTCCGCACTTTTCTTATGGGAAGTGGGTTTCGGCCAATTTTTTTAAAACTTCGCAGGTTGATAGTTCTTAATACGTAGATCAAAAGTCTCAATGGGCACAAAGTCCCAAATCCACCCCTTCCTCCCCAAAAACTGCCTCCAAGTAGCGGGGGCAATTTAACTGATTTCTGCATGTAAAACAATTTATTTTTTTAATCAACCCAGCAACGACCCCAAACAACCACATTTTTGATTATCAAACTACCCCACTTGACCCCACCCCTCACACACCCCCCACCCCCTACGAATCAGCCTATGGATTTTCCAGATTACTGTATTTTATAGTTGCACGTATTTTTTGCACATATTTTTTCACACTGAATTCGAATCTGCAACTCAATTTTACGAAATCGGAACAGGAAAATTGTTATTAACAATTTAATTGTTTATATAGTTATAGAGTTTATTTGTGATTTTATGAAAAAATATTTCAAGTGTTATTTATTTTCACTAAATCTAAAAAAAGTTTGTGATTTTTTCGAAAAAGTAATATCCAAGCTGTAAAACGCTGTTAAACTTAACACACGTGATATCTACAGCTATCATACGTATACTCTCAGTGTTAAACTTTGGTGGTGTTTTAAACATAAAACATTGATTTTTCGAAAAAAACAATAGTTTTTTTATAGATTTCATTGAAATAAACTTTTATTTGAAATTTCTTTTCATAAAACGACAAGTAAACTCCCCGCTACTTGGAGGCAGTTTTTGAGGGAAAGGGGTGGATTTGGGGCTTTGTGCCCATCGAGACTTTTGATCTACATGTTAAGATCTATCAACCTGCAAAGTTTCAAAAAATTGGCTGAAACCCACTTCCCATAAGAAAAGTGCGGGATCCTTTAGGAAAACCAAAAATTTCTGAACAAAACTTAATATGGATAAACTTATGTTTTCAACGTGCATTCAGTGCATAAAATCATTCTTTTTTGTTACAGTTGAAAGTACAAAATGAAGATATACTCATTATACTCAGTGGATGAGTTAAATAAGTTGAAAATGTGGTTAGTTTTTAAGACATTCTCTAATTTGTGGTCATTAATAATAAATATATTTTTTAGATGTACAATTTTCATAAATGCGGAATGCATGCAAATTATGTAAAATAAATAATAACTAATACAATAACAACAAGTGTAATCAATACTCCCATTATTAAAATTACTTTATCTTCAGAGGCTCTTTTTTCTATTAACTTCATAGTATGATTACTTAAACCTAAGGTATTTGCCATGTCAATTATTCTTCTATGAGCACCTTTCAGTGTCATCCTTTGTGACCTTAACGATTCTAAAGAATTGAATCCAGTATGTAACATTTCATCAACACCTTTATTGGCATTCTGTAAAGAGTTTTGATGCTGTATTGCATAGTCAATGTTAACAGCTGTTACATCTGGATTAGGAGTAAATCTTCTATTAAGTAACAATTCTCTTTCGTTAGCTGCAGCTTCTTTACGGACTCTTTTCTGTTTTAATGCTTCCAAAGCAGCGTGTAAATGCTTACTATCATATTTAAGCTGATCACATCGCATCTTAGCATTTTGTCGTTGGTCAAGTGGTAATTTGTGGATAAACAAATCAAGTTTTTCACAATTTCTAAAATAAACAATTGGTTATTCAAAAAATAATATTAATCGATGTATACTTACTTATTTATTGAAAATATATTTTCTTGAATATCTGTTTCAATTTCTATTGCATTTTTTGGACTACCTTCTAATACATGAAAACTTTGTTGCGTTTGTAGAATTAATTTGTTTGTTTGATTGTACAAAGAATCCATGATTTATTAATTTCATATCTATCTTAGGCTTTTTTTCGCGAGTGAATATTGGTGAATACGTCTGACTTGTAGTTACTGTTTCTATCTCTTTTCATCTTTTTTCTAACCTTGTCTAACCTGAACAGATCGCGAAAATGTATATATTCACTATTCAGTGGTGCAGCCTGTCATATTGTAATATGTATTTTGACGACTTTGACATATGGGTTCTAACTTCTAACCAGTAACCATAATTTGTTATCCTTTATTGCTTGTGTTGTGGGAATTGGTGTTATCTCACTAAATAATAATGTATTTGCTTCGAATAAAACTGAAGGAATATATCAATGCTTTCTTTGGAATATTTTTAAGTGGCAAATTTAAAAAGCGTGAAAAGTATGTAGATTCTGATGTTGCAAGATATGCGAATATTCGACATAATCGTTATCGTAAGAGAGTGGAATTTGGTCATTTATGTCAATGGCTACAAAACAGAAATTGTGACATGGCTCTATATTTTTTGATATTTTTGTGGAATGAGGATGATGATGTTCCTTATTTATGTTATAAGTTTAGAGAATCATATCATATATTCTCTATTCCAGAAAAAAATTAANTTCCACAAGAAAATTTCAAAAATCACATTATCTGTGTGTCAAGAGAAAATGACGTAATTTTCTCTAATGAACTAATTCTCCTGTTTTCAAAAATCAGGCCCCTGGGGCTTGATTTTTGAAAACAGGAGAACTGATTCTCCAGAGAAAAAATTCACCTGACAAATTTCTCTTAAAAACTTAAATACTTATTTTTGAACGTTGAAGGAATCCAATTCTCTAGAGAATTTAATTTATGCCGTATGTCGAGGATATATTTGCAACTGACCAATCAGCGGGCAGAGTTTTCTTCAATATTTCAGTGCCATTATTGGCGACCCTGATGTTTAGTCACTTGATTTGATTTTGAAGGTTGTTTTGTAAATGTCATTATATTCGTCAGGGAGACTAGACATCTCCATGACATTCGTAGTAATTTAATATAACTTCAATTTGAATAGAAGTATATTTGAAAACACAAAAAAAATAATATTATTATAATTATGATAAAGCGTTCGTTCACGTCGAAAGCTCAAAAAAGAAATTAATATGCTTAGAAACAACGAACTTTTTAAAATGAAAGTTTTCTTGTACTTTTACTCACAAAAAGTCCCGCGAACAGTGGTCAGATATTGCTGAAACTTTAAATGGTTTAATTAATGTTGTCGCGGATGGTTTACAATTTCTGCAGCTTG